CGACCCTAATGGCACTCAGCCGCGAGATGTCCCACATCATGGAAAGCATGTGGCGTACGGCTCGCTCGTCCACCGCCTCCCCCACCCCCACCTCCACCTCGTAGTAGAGATGGATCCGCCCAGCCACCCCCTTGACAGGCCTATTTTTGAGGCCGCTTCCTAAGTAAAATAGGCCTTTCCCACTTTCTCACTTTCTTCACTTCGACTGCTCTTCCACTCAATTTCAAGTGGGTGCTTCCACCGCGCCCGCCTTGGCTGACGGCGACGATAACGTCAGATGGAGGCGATGGATGTGAGACACAAGTCGACTCTCGTTCCGAGTCCCATGGACTTTCACGTGAGGCGGGAGAAGTACCGGGCCATGCTTCAACTGGGCGACCGCTTGGCCCAGGCGCCCGAGGTGAGGAGTTCTTTGCCCCTTCCACGTCCCGGCGTTCCGGCCACCACCACAGTTCTATACTTGAGTGTGAGAAAGAGATAGACTCGGCTCTCTGGCCTCACACACGCCAAGCCATGACCGTCGCATCGCAACGGAAGTCTGGCAAGTTGCATCACACAGGAATTCGAAGGGCTTCCCCCCAATTCACCAAATTTGGATATTTTTTTTCATGCAACATTTCGATTGAGGTGACTGATCATTTATTTAGGATCAATCAAATATTGATCTACAAAACACGTGGAGATAAGGCACGATCAAAGTGGAACACCGGTATGAGTGTGCAGGCTAACTGATTGGACAAATAGCAGTGCAGAGGAAAGGAAAGTTGTTCATATTCGGAACACAATATTAAAATAATAATAATAGCATAAAAAACTACGTCTGGCCGGCTGCTTCGTGGTGGCCCAGTTTGTGCAGTTGGGTGCTGGTGCGATTGGTCGCTGTGGGCGCTCTGCCCCAGGGCGAGTTCCAAGTTGTCGGTGCAGAGACCGGCCCCGCTGAACTGCAGTGACTCCCAACGGCTGCCATGGCCGACAATGGCGACCGGGCACCTCTGGCCATGGAAGGTCCTTCCTTAGTCCCCCACGGCCGGCTTCTGCTTCGACTATCTCGGCCTTCAGCAGGCCGCGCCAACTTTGGCTGAAAACGTCAGATGGAGGCGGTGGATGTGAGACACACCACAGTCAACGGCTGTCGCAGCTGAACAGGTGCGCTCCAGGCGGAGATGCAGACCCACCGAGCATAAACACCGCCCTTCAGGCCTGGCAGCACAGCCTCACTCAAGAAGCCAGACGGAGAAGTACCGGGCCGTGCATGCTTCAACTGGGCGACCGAGCTGGACCCCGGTGTCACTCGACCTCCACTTCCGCCATGCCCGTGGTGTGCAGCTTGCCTGGCACGCCCGGCAAGTTGAAGAGCTTTTTGGAATCCTGGTTTTAGCAGCCAATTTTTGACGTTGGACTCTGTTCTAGGTCGCTCCGAAGACACCCATGAATCCACATTCTTGAGAATCGGAATCCCAAACTACCAATTTTAGTCTCGTGTGTAGACTGTGATGGTCGTTGGCTCCCTAGACCCCTTTCCAACAACGCTGGGCACCGCAAAAGGTACGCTACACCCTAAATTTGGTAAATGACCGGCCAGGAGGATTGCGAAATTTCATGCAGGCCAGTTATTATTATAATAATATTAGCTGCTAGGGCCGGCTCTCTTTGTTCAACTTCACTTCTCTTGCTATCCGACCCTTACACCAACCTCAACACCAACGCCACCACGATGGCCACGCCTACGACTACGACCACCAACGCACGCCACGGCCAGGAGCAGCACACTCTGCTGCCGATGCGGCAAGAGCCCTTCTTCCCTCTTGCAAGCCAGAAGGAGCTCTACAGCGAGGTACGCCAATCGTTCATGCATCTTCCACTTTGTTGATTCAAGAAGAGTAGAAGATGATGCCTGAACAACAAAGCTCTTGTCACATCAACAGATGGACAGATGTGCAGCGCTCCTGAGGATCGAGACGCAGGAACTTGCCTCCTTGAGCGAGGCCCAAAGCACCGCCGTCACGCACAACGCACAGGAGCTCTACGTGGCGATGGTGCAACTGGCCAACCACCTTCACCAGGTCACCCACGACCTCCACCACCACCACCAGCGATACTGCCGTCTCGGCAAGGCCACCACCAGCTGCTCAGCAGCTTTGGCCCTGACCAAGAAGAAGAAGATCGAGAAGAAGAAGAGCAGTGCCAAGAGCTGCGAGCACTGCAGCCGGACGTCGTCTTCTGCCTGGCGCCGAGGCCCCGACTACTGCCTGTACGTTCGCACCCTTCTTCTTCTTGTTCTTCGTCATCCTCATCATTGGGACCTCATGGCCCCATCTGTTCTGACCACAAGTGACCACGTTGACAAGGTTGTGCAATAGCTGTGGGCTGCGGTACCAGGCGTGGAAGAACACCAAACGCTCCATGAGCGTGCAGGCCCTTCTCAACTGATTGGACACACATGTTTGATGATAGGAAAGTTGTTAGAATCATAAAATAAACTGCAATTAAAGGTGAGCCCATCACTTATGTGAGAATAAGGCTCTTCTGAGGAATAACCCTGTGTTTCTACTATTTTGGTATACCACCAGTGCTTGCCATCCCCAACCTGCCCTGTGGCCTTGACCATGAGGAGCATTAAAAGCACACTTTCCCTCTCCTTCACAACATTTTACAATGGTGTAAACCCAAGGATTTGACTACCCCCACAATCTGAGTCCAATTCCCCACCGGTGCCCAACTGCCCTTGGCTTCCCTTCATGATGTTGGAGTTGTTGACGTTGGTGTTGATAACATGACCGTCGCAGCTGAACAGGTGTCCGTTACGGAACTTCATGTGGATACGCAGATACCGACCTACCAATCATCAACACTTAAGGCTGGCAGCTCAGGGCAAGAAGCCAGGCGGGAGAAGTACCGGGCCGTGCATGCTTCAACTGGGCGACCGCTCGGTCCCCGGTGTCACACGACCTCCACTCCCGCCATGCCCGCGTGGTGTTCATCTTGCCTGGCCCGCCAATTCGAATCCACACATTCCCAGAATTCGGAAAATCCCAACTTGGAATCAATTTTAGACTCGTGGGAGGAACTGGAACGGCCCTAGTCGCCCCCTGTTCGACACGCCTTACACGGCATTGGGCGAAAAGCTGCGTTCCACCGCTACTATTGCCCGCGCTGGCTGACTTACCCCTTGAATGCGCTTGCGCCGGCTCTCTTCTTGTTCAACTTCCCCTTTACATCAACACCAACCTTTACACCAACATCAACGTCAACGTCAACCACCATGACCACTCCTACTACGACCACGCCAACTACCAACGCACGCCACAGCCAGGAACAGCACACTCAGCTGCCGATGCGGCAAGAGCCCTTCTTCCCTCTCGCAAGCCAGAAGGAGCTCTACACCGAGGTAGGGGATTCGTTCATGCATCTTCACGAGCAGTAGAAGATGATGTCTGAACAACAAAGCTCTTGTTTGTGTGCCACATCGACAGATGGACAGATGTGCAGCACTCCTGAGGATCGAGACGCAGGAGTACCACCGAGCCCTTGCCAGCGCCTCATCCACCACTACGTCGACGATCATCTCCTCCTCGAGCGAGGCCCCACGCACCGTCGAGCACAACGCGCAGGAGCTCTACGTGGCGATGGTGCAACTGGCCAACCACCTTCACCAGGTCACCCACGACCTCCTCCACCACCAGCGCCACCGCCATCTCGGCAGGGCCACCACCAGCTGCTCAGCAGCTTTGGCCCCGGCCAAGAAGATCGAGAAGAAGAAGAAGAAGACGAGCAGTGCCAGGAGCTGCGAGCACTGCGGCCGGACGTCGTCTGCTGCCTGGCGCCGAGGCCCCGACTACCGCCTGTACGTTCGCACCCTTCTTCTTCTTGTTCTCGTCATCCTCATCATTGGGACCTCATGGCCCCATCTGTTCTGACCACAAGTGACCACGTTGACCAGGTTGTGCAATAGCTGTGGGCTGCGGTACCAGGCGTGGAAGAACACCAAACGCTCCATGAGCGTGCAGGCCCTTCTCAACTGATTGGGCACACATGTTTGATGATAGGAAAGTTGTTAGAATCCTAAAATAAACCGCAATTAAAGTGAGCCAACACTTATTCGAGAATAAGGCTCTTCTGAGGAATGACCCTGTGTTTCTTCTATTTTGGTATTCCACCAGTGCTTGCCATCCTCAACCTGCCCTATGGCCTTGACCATGAGGAGAATTAAAAGCACACTTTCCCTCTCCTTCACAACATTTTACAATGGTGTAAACCCAAGGATTTGACTACCCCCACAATCTGAGTCCAATTCCCCACCGGTGCCCAACTGCCCTTGGCTTCCCTTCATGATGTTGGAGTTGTTGACGTTGGTGTTGATAACATGACCGTCGCAGCTGAACAGGTGTCCGTTACGGAACTTCATGTGGATTCGCAGATACAGACCTACCAATCATCAACACTTATGGCTGGCAGCTCAGGGGCAAGAAGCCAGGCGGGAGAAGTACCGGGCCGTGCATGCTTCAACTGGGCGACCGCTCGGTCCCCGGTGTCACACGACCTCCACTCCCGCCATGCCCGCGTGGCGTTCATCTTGCCTGGCCCGGCCCGCCAATTCGCATCCACACATTCCCAGAATTCGGAAAATCCCAACTTGGAATCAATTTTAGGCTCGTGGGAGGAACTGGAACGGCCCTAGTCGCCCTGTTCGACACGCCTTACACGGCATTGGGTGAAAAGCTGCGTTCCACCGCTACTATTGCCCGCGCTGGCTTACTTACCCCTTGACTGCGCTTACGCCGGCTCTCTTCTTGTTCAACTTCACGTTTACATCAACACCCACCTTTACACCAACATCAACGTCAACCACCATGACCACTCCTACTACGACCACACCGACTACCAACGCACGCCACAGCCAGGAACAGCACACTCTGCTGCCGATGCGGCAAGAGCCGTTCTTCCCTCTCGCAAGCCAGAAGGAGCTCTACACCGAGGTAGGGGCTTCGTTCATGCATCTTCACGAGCAGTAGAAGATGATGTCTGAACAACAAAGCTCTTGTTTGTGTGCCACATCGACAGATGGACAGATGTGCAGCGCTCCTGAGGATCGAGACGCAGGAGTACCACCGAGCCCTTGTCAGCGCCTCCTCCACCACTAGGTCGACGATCATCTCCTCCTCGAGCGAGGCCCCACGCACCGTCGAGCACAACGCGCAGGAGCTCTACGTCGCGATGGTGCAACTGGCCAACCACCTTCAACAGGTCACCCACGACCTCCTCCACCACCACCAGCGCCACCGCCGTCTCGGCAGGGCCACCACCAGCTGCTCAGCAGCTTTGGCCCCGGCCAAGAAGATCGAGAAGAAGAAGAAGAAGACGAGCAGTGCCAGGAGCTGCGAGCACTGCGGCCGGACGTCGTCTGCTGCCTGGCGCCGAGGCCCCGACTACCGCCTGTACGTTCGCACCCTTCTTCTTCTTGTTCATCATCACCCATCTTCTTCTTCTTCTTCTTCGCCATCTGTTCTGACCACAAGTGACCACGTTGACCAGGTTGTGCAATAGCTGTGGGCTGCGATACCAGGCGTGGAAGAACACCATCCGCTCCATGAGCGTGCAGGCCATCCTCAACTGATCGCTGCCTGGCACACACGAAAAGAGGAAAAGTCTTCTGGGGAATACAAAAAAGAATGTAACTGGTTAGAAAGAAAATAAAATTAAAAGGATTTTAATTTTGATTAAGAACAATAAATAAGAACAATAATAATAAAAAAAACATGTGCCCAGGTTGCTCACTCGCCGTAGCCGGGCTTCGCCGGCTTGCGCACCGGCGACTCTATGGCCTGTGTTTGTTGCGTGTTACGTACGGAACAGAATGTGTGAGTATGAGAGGCCACTTCGCACTCTAGAGGTTGAAGTGAATGATCACAACGTACGTTGAAGGTGTTCCAGCTGACGGGCTGTGGCTGGATCTTCTGGGAGAGTACTCGCTCGTCGCGCCAGGATGGTCGCGGCAGGCCCGTCTCAGCGTCATCGTTTCCGTTGTCGTGGCCCGTGCCCGCCCCGCCTGCGAACGTGCGCTTCGCTGCACGCACAATCAGAAATAGCACGCGCAGATACACAACAACGCAGCGCAGACACAACACACACACACACACACACACACACACACACACAACACACACAAAGGGCGCACAAGACACAACGCGTACGTGGTTGTTGGGCGCGTCGGCTCTGAGAATATTGGGAGAGCAGGCTGGGATCGGTGTCGCCGTCATCCTCCTCCTCATCGTCGTCGTCGACTTCCTCGTTCCTGTAGGTGGCCGTGCTGCGGCCGTAGTGATTCCCGTCTCCGTCGTCCCCGTCCTCATCGTCGTCGACAATGTGCATTTCATCGATGAGCTCGGTCAGGCGCAACGCACGCAGAATCTTCGCCCTCATATTTTGGGTTCGTGTGTGTCGTGCTGTGTCGTGTCGTGTCAGGTGTTGTGCGGTCAGAGTGAGGAGGGGGAAGGAAACGCGTACAGTCATCTTCGGGCTGCTCCGATGGCTGTGAGTGGAGTGCGCTGTTCAGCCCGCCGAGCATGGAGGCGTTCTGCATGGACATCTCCACGAGCTGCACTGCCACCACTGCGTCGTCCACCCCAACCTTGCATCACGCACGTCGGGGAAGTCAGCCAAGGATGTGCTGTGCGGCGTGTGTCGTGTCGTGCCGTGTCGCGGTGTGAAACGCACCTCGTGGCGGCACATTAGGCGGGCGTGTGCCTGCGCCAGGCGGACCAAGCTCTCGAGCAATCGCACGGTGGTCCGGGCTTGGTTGCGTTGATCCGCCGATCGCTGCAGTCGGTAATAGTTGCCCAACACCTGAGCGTTTCCAAAACAAAACAAAACAAAACACAAGATTTCTTAGTCCGTGTGGCGTGCCGCGTGTCGTATCGTGGACAGTACCCGCTCGGCGCTGGCAGAGAGCTTGGGCTGGTAGGTGGAGGCCACGTAGGAGATGTAGGCCTGGAGCTTGCGCAGCGCCCACGGCCCCAACTCCAAGCCGGAGTTGGTGTGCCGCTGGCGCACCCCGTCCAGAATGAAGGAGGCCACCGTCGTGTCCCACTCATCCTCCTGTTCGTCCAGGAGCACCAGGATGAGATCGAATCGACTGAGCAGCGGACTTCCGATGGCCGTGTTGACCGTAAGACCTGTGAGACCCCCCCCCAAACAAAGAGAGAAGAGCGAAGAGTGAAGAAGAGCGAAGAGTGCGAAAAACGAAGAAGAACGAAAGCGAAGAAGGGGGATGGTCAGGGAAGGAGAGAGCGGGAAAAGAGAGAAGGAGGGAAGGGGGAGGTGTACTCTGGTCTTTGTCGAATTTAATCTTGGGATTGGTGGCGGCCACGACGGTACACTTGGTGCTGAGCTTGCACACGAGACCGGCCTTGGCAACGGAAAGCGTCTGCTGCTCCATCGCCTCGTGAATGGTCGCCTGCATAGCGCACTGTCAGCTAGCACAAGCACGTCACGACACGGCACACGCGACACAGGGAGGCAAGGCGGGACCTGGTCGTGCTTGCGGATGGAGCTGAATTCGTCGATACAGCACACGCCGCCATCGGCCAGCACGAGCGCACCAGCCTCGAGCATCCACTCGCCACCGGCGTCCTTCACGGCCGTCACCGTCAGACCGGCCGATGTGGTTCCTGCAACACACGACACACGACACACGACACACGACACACAGTGTGAGGGAACTGCGCATGTCGCGCTACATAGAGGAAGACAAGGTGGTACGGAGTAGGTACCAATGCCGGCGGTGAGGACCGACCGCGGGCTGAGCTTGGCGGCGTATTTGAGGAACTGTGACTTGCCCGTGCCCGGGTCGCCGATCAGCAGGAGATGCGACTCACCGCGCACCTTGAGGCCGTTGGGGTCCGTGTACTGGACGCCGCCGATGAGCACCAGCAGCAGCGCCAGCTTGACTGTATGCAGGCCGTACACCTATTTTATTTTTTAATTGATGAGTCAAGAAATATTAGATTTAAAATGAAAATAAGAATAATAGAATTAAAGAATTATTTAAAAAAGTGAGGAGGGTTAAAAAACCTGAGGGCAGATGCTCTTGATGATGACGTCACGTCCGGTCATCGGTGTGTGCGCGTAGTCCTGCCAGAACGTGGCGAACTCGTGCTTCATTTCGTCGGTGATGACGATGCCCATGCGCTGCTCGTTATTTACACGCAGCTGGTTGGCCTGCATGAACATCTCCAGGTCACACCTGTCCACAGACATGCGTGAGTACTCGGGGTGGCCTGATGTGGTTCGGTGCATCTAATGGACCACTCTAGCTCTCCGCACCGCTTTTCCTCGTCGACCGTGCGCCAGCGCCGCATGACGATGCCGTTGACTGTCACGTCGTCCCCCGCCTTGCACGTATCGACCAGGTCGTCCTCCAATATCACGACCATCGACCGCGGGATGGAGCCCATCTAGCAAAGCAGCAGCATAGCAGTCAATGTCATCAATATAAACATGTAAGCACTTATGTTCTTTTAAAACAAAAAGTGAGAGGCGACATCGATCTCAAGGTGGCGTGTGAACGAACCGTCAATTGTTGGATTTGTTCTTGAATCTTGATCTCCTGGTAGTCCCTACAGAGTTTCGAATCACCCTCGATCAAGCGGAACGTCTTGCCCTGACACGGTGGCTCTGTGCGTGGGTCCAGGCTTCGTGTTAGGCGGTCAAGAAGCAGAAGCAGAAGCAGAAGAAGAAGGCGTCGCGACAGTAAGGAGCGGTCTGCGAGTTCGTTTGTTTTGTTTTGTGAGCGTGGGTCGGCGCACCCTTGTCGGATGGGCAGCGGGTGATGCGCGGGAAGTTGTTGTACTGTTCGGGATCGGCGTGCACGACGAACTGGTGCTTGCACTTGGCGCACTCCATGAGCCGCTCCCACTCGAGCATCTTGATCATGCCCGTGCGGATGACCGTTCCTGGATTGATTGCGCGTGTCTGGCGTGTGAGCAAGTGTGCACACGACACACACGGCACACAGCACACAACACGCGACACACGAAACACGACTGCACGCACCTCGCACTTCGATGAAGTTGCCCACGTCACACGAGCGCGGTAGCTTGGTCTTCCACAGCTCGGGCACGTTGGCGGGGAGGTGGGTGATGCGCGCGTGGCAGTGGGACTTGGCGCGCCACCGCTTGCGCTTGGGGTCGGTCAGCGGCACGTCCTCGATCCACTTGAGCTGCAGCTCCCAGATGGCCTTGTCAAAGAGCGGCAGCAGCCGCGCCGGGTACTTGATGAGCATGTGCGCGGCCACCATGTTCATCTCCATGAAGTCCACAAAACTGTGTGGAGCGAAACAACGGTGAGCGGTGAGAAACAAACGATGATGAAGGTGCAACGGACCTGATAGTGACGCCATAGTGGATGGTGTCGTCTGCTCTTTCGATGATGCCCTCGATTTGGGGCAGGCAGTAGCGCTCGAGGAAAACGCCGAACAAAATCTTCCACTCATCTTCATCGCAATCCTCAAGCGTGTCCGGCAGGCACCCAAAGTCCAACGTTTTCGGCAATCCGCCTCGTCTTCCCGCTACAAACGGCCGCCCTTCCATTTCATCTGAGATGCAGAAAAATAAAATCACAAAAACCTGTTTATTCATTTTGCAAGAATTCGAGGAAAACAAAAATTTCAAAGTTTCGAGTTTGTTTCGAAAAGCAAGAAGGAATCTCGAACGCTCGTGATCGCAAGGTCGGCAAGAAAAGCCAAACGGCACGACAACGGCAGGAGGAACAGCGAGAACACGAGACAGGGGGCGGGCAAGCGCTGTACAGGAGGCGAAGAAAGAATGGGATCGCACTCGAATGGACTCGAACCAGAAATTAGGGAGGTGTGGGCCGAAAACCTGGAAGAGGAGATGGCCCACATTCGTGACATCGTTGAAGACTATCCCTACATTGCCATGGTGCCCCCCTCTGCATAATTGACAATTAATCTGTTTTGAAAGTCTCCCACTCACTCCCCTTGCCATTGTCAGCAGACAATTATTGCTTCAAATTACATAATCATTTATTTAATTGAATGATTGATCACTGAGATCTCACGCTCTATCAATTCCTGCAGGACACTGAATTCCCAGGGATCGTAGCGCGACCTATTGGCAATTTCAAGAGTCCCTCCGAGTATCACTACCAGACGCTGCGCTGCAATGTGGACCTCCTCAAGATCATTCAGCTCGGGCTCACATTTACGGATGGAGAGGGCCGCCTCCCACCAGGGGTAGCCACCTGGCAGTTCAATTTTAAATTCAGCCTCACGTACGCCACCTTTTTCGATTTGATTTCGCATCTTATGGAGCCACGCTTCATCCTCTACACATCTCATCTTTTACACTAAGTCGCCTCCGCCACTCACTTCGCCTGCCCTCTTTGCTTACGCTTCGCATCGCCACCGCACACGCACACACCTGCTCGCACGCACCTTGTGCACACGTACGCGTACGGCACCACAGTGAGGACATGTACGCGCAGGACTCGATAGATCTGCTGACGAGGTCGGGGATCAACTTCAAGCGACACGAGGAGCACGGCGTCGACGTCTCTCACTTTGGCGAGCTGCTGACGAGCTCCGGCATCGTGCTCGACGATCGGATCAAGTGGATATCCTTCCACAGCGGCTACGATTTTGGCTATCTGCTCAAGATCCTCACCTGCAAGCCGCTGCCAGCACAGGAGGAGGAGTTCTTCGAGCTCCTCCTCGCCTACTTCCCCTGTATATACGACATCAAATATTTAATGAAGAGCTGCAAGAGCCTCAAGGGCGGCCTCAACGAGCTAGCCAACGACCTCGAGGTACCTCCTCCCTCTTCCTCCTTCAGTTCTTGAATTCTGCTTTCCGCTTCTACTCGCTTGATGGTCATGGAGCTTAGCACACTACCTTCGCCTTTCTCATCGTGCGCTCTGCTCTACATTGCGTAGGTGGAACGGATTGGACCGCAGCATCAGGCGGGTAGTGACAGCTTGCTCACGAGCGCGACCTTCTTCAAGATGAAGCGGATGTTCTTCGAGAACAATCTCGACGACTCCAAGTTCCTGGGTGTGCTCTACGGCCTCGGACACCCCTACAAGGCCGGCGGCTACGAGCAGCAGGTCTGAAGACGTCGATGAGCTCTCTCGCATCGGCCAGTCAGTCAGCGAGCGATGAAGCAAGAAGAGAAAGAGTGCGCGCTGCTGTTGATAATGTGATACTATTTATTGCAACATCAAAACATCCAAAAAAGCAACAAAAAATCGAATAACAATAAAAGTTGTAAGTATTTCAAAAACAAACAAATCATAATAATAATAACTCTACCGTTTCCTCTTTGTGTTTGGTAAGACACCTTTGAACGGTGCGGAAAGGAGGGTACGCCGGAACTGTTGCCTGTCTCTTGAGTTCCTGGATCGTTCGGCGTTGCCTGCTGATCATGCACCAGAATGGTTGGAGCTGTCCGCTTGGCACCCTCATTTGGCCGCGTCTGGCGCCGGGCCACTGGCGGCGCGTTTGCCCACCTTGCCGCGGACATGTTTGCGGCAATCGCCGCGGTGACGACCATTACTCTCCCTGCGTGCAGTTGAGTAAAACGACCATAACAAGACATGACCGGAAGCACTTGTACGGTCCGACGTGGAGGATTTCAAGTGTGCTCTGCAACAGAGCGTGACCGGCAGGGACCTGTGGAGCGGATGGATCTTTCTTATGGAAAAGGAATGGTGGTGGCCGAGGTTGAGCGCAACCGATCGATCTGGTCTAAGGGCTACGCGTGCGTTCGGTTCACGGCCCGAGGCCGAGGCGATAAAAGACAAGCACTGACTGACGAGTGTCGTTCAAACATTCAAACCACCACCAACCACCACCACGCTCACGCTCTTGCTCGCCCTCACTTGTCAACCGACATCCAAGGCCTATACAACTCTCGTGCGACAGCACTGAACCACTACAAGCCACCACTGCAAGCTGCTACGCGTCGCTACTCGAACTCGCCACTCTCAAGTCCGATCCCTGCCAACCGCTACAAGACCTGGCCACCGCAACACGAGAGCCATGGCGACGTCCAACAACGTGCTGTCGATCGAAGTCCTGCCAGCGCTCTCCGTCCGCTGCAACGTGCCTCTGCCTCAAGTAGCGCCTCAGTCGCCGTCTTCTTCATCTTCTCCATCGACCTCTTCGAGCAGCTCCCTCGGTTCGATGCTACTCGCTGGCTCGAGCGAGAGCCAGGGCGTCGTGCTCGGCCTGCTGGCCGACATCGCCGCCCGCTCAGAGACCAAGACGCGAAGCTCGACGAGAAGACGCCACAAGAAGAGGTCGCACAAGAAGAGCTGCAAGAAGGCGCACAAGAAGAGCTCCGAGAAGACTGAAGAAGCCAAGGACGAGAGCGTCGTGGAGCGAAAGCGCAAGCGAGGAAGTAGCACCAAGAACGTCACATCGAAGAAGCAGAAGAAGCTGAGCGAAGAGCGCACCATCAAGCGACGACGCGATGTGAAGGGCGAGAGCGCCACCGCGCCGAAGGAGATCATCGTAGAGATCGTCGCCTCCACCCTCAACAACGACGACAACGACCACCTCGGCCAGGAGGCGCCCGAGCAGATCGAAGTTGAACAACTAGTAGAGCAGGTGGTGATCGAGCAGCTCGAGCTGGACCGAGTCGAGTCCGAGGAGATGCTCACCCTGCTACGCGAGTTTGAGCGGCTGGTCGATGAGGGAGTGGTGCCGCCGCCCATCGGCCAGCAGGTCGTCGACGAGGAGCTCGAGGAGCTCAGGCTGCAGCAGTTCGCCATGTCTTACGTTCATCGAGGCGAGGACGATTTCCTGACCGATCTCCTCTCCGACAGCCCTCTGTCGAGCCCCACGATCTCTCGACGAGGCCCGGTGCTGCCCTCATTCAGATCGTTCCTGAAGGGCTGCACGCATCAGAACCACACGCCACTCGGCTCGAGCTCGAGCCTCGCCCTATCAATGTCGCTAGAGGAAGACAAGGCCGCCTACTACGACGAGGAAGTGCTCCTCACGTCTTTCGATCTTCTGCCGGCTGAAGGCGATGATTCCGAGTAAGACGAGGCCGCAATTGTAAATAGCCATTTGTAAAGAGATCATCTGTTGCCCATCCTCGCGCTTGTCGAGCTTTTCTTTTGTGGTTTCTTTTCGATTTATAAATCGGCAAGAAGTGAAGATGAAGGCCCAACCGGCGGGCCGACGGTCCCTCGACGCCAGCAGCCCCACAACCACAGGGCATGGGTCCGTCCCAGCTTTGTCTGGGAGTGAAGAGCTTCTACGCGCTCCCCAAGAGAATCGCGGCACCGGATGCGACGAATCGGGAGAAAGAGGAGCTCGATCGCTCGCCCCCTCCTGTCACCACCATCGTCAATCGCCTCCAGGCCCTCAAATCGACCGTCGTCTCGCCTCAACTCTGCCGCTACATCGACGTCGTCAAATCAAAGCATGGTGCGCCCATCTCTTTATTATTAGTATTTTTATTAATTATTATTAATAAAAAAATAAAGGATTATGGTAACGCTCGCCACCGTGTACAGATCGACTGCTGTTCGTATCGGAGCACTACAGCGGGTCGCTGTCCAAGGAGCTCTTCATCAAACATCATCACACCAAGGGGTACGCAACAACTCCAGTCGCTTTCTCCCCCTCTTCTCGATCCTCACGTCCTCGCTTGTGTGCCCGTCCTCTATTCAGCGGATTCGAGGAGGAGCTCCTGGGCTCCTACGCCTTCGACATCCTGCGCGCGTTGGCGCACCTGCACGACGCGGGCGTCACCCATCGCAACATCTCCTCGGCCAACGTCCTACTTGACCCGCAGGTGCCTCTCTACCGCTGCACGCCGACGTCGCACACGCTGTACTAATTGCAGTGCACTGCATGCGTCCAACCGTGTGTGTCGTGTGTGTCGTGTAGGGCGGCATAAGGCTGGCCGACTATGGGCTCCATTTCTGCACGAGGCCCAGCAAGAAGTTCGGACCCAACGTTTCCTTCCCGATTGGGTACCGTTTCTCTTTCCTCAGTCGAGCTTGGCTGCGTGTGCGTGTGTGCGGTGTGCGTGTGTGCGTGTGCGTGTGCGATCACTGATACCAGAGCGTCGTCGTGTGCGTAGAACGCCAAACTATTTTGCGCCGGAGCTCATCGCCACGGGCTTCACCACGCGCACCTCGCACACCTTCTACGATCATCCATCGAGCGACATCTGGGCCTTTGGCATTCTCTTCATCGAGCTCACGCAAGGCCAGCTGCCCTGGGTACCACGCCGCGCCTGCAGTGCGTGTGCGTGTGCGTGTGCGTGTGCGTGTGCGTGTGCGTGTGCGTGTCGACACGGAGCTCACCCAGGGCCTTTGCTTGCTCTTCGCAACGCCTTTTAACTCCGAACCTGAGCAGCACGAGCTAGGCAAGGATGTGCGAGCGATCACGCGTGCGATTTTGGATCTCTGTGGTCACGAGGACTCAGAACTCGAGGACGAGGAGGCGCGAGCGGCCCTGGCCGCTGCGTCCACAACACCGCTCCTCTCCTTTGGTAGCAGCGGATCTCCAGTACGCCACCCGTGTCATGCGTGCGTGTGCGGTGGTGCGTGTCGTGACGTGTCGTGTCGTGTGCGAACGTTTTTCAGCTCACCCCGCGTGTTGTCGTGCAGGACCTGTATGCGGCGTCGTATGATCCGTTCAAGCGGCAGAACAAGGCGCTCATGCAGAAACGACACAAACTCAAGCTGGAGGACTGGCTCAAGGAGCGCAAGGGATTCACTGAGCTCAGGTTCGTAGGACACAGCGACCCCAAACTGCCTGTGCGTCGTGTGTCTCCGGCCGCTCCTGATCTCTGTGTGCGGTGTGTGCGGTGTGTGCGGTGTGTGCGGTGTGTGCGGTGTGTGCGGTGTGCGGTGTGCGACAGTGACGGGCTGAAGGAGATCGTACGTGCGTGTCTGGTGCCGGACCCCTCCAAGCGATTGGACGCTCACACGCTGCTCGCGCATCCTTATTTTGACTCGCGCCACGAGAGGTCTCTCCGTCTCTTTTTTATTCACCCTTTGTTGCTCAGTCCCCACCAGTCTGCACCAGCTGACGACGTCTCCTCCACTCCCTATCTAGGGAGCGGCAGCGGAAGCGATGGCTCAAGAAGCCCTTCCTCAAGTGCAGCCTGCTCAAGGTGGTCGACATCGACGCCCTTCTCGCAGGCAGCCAAGGCCCGGCCGCCGAAAGTGAAACGTACGCCCTTTTCTTTTTTATTTCTCTTCTTTCTTCATCAAATTTTTCGGAGTTTTGCTGCGGAGCGGTTGTGTTGAGCTCCGGAGACCCATAAGTGCTGTGGGAGCCGGGGAGGTAGAAGAGGCGGGGGCGCTGGCGATGGAAATCATTGCACAGAGCCAGCAGCATAACGTATTGGTTTTTCGCCTTTTACTAAAGACCACCGTGTTGCTGGCTCACTCAATGTGCCTTCAGTAATTTTTACCAAGGCCCCTTCGGGGTGCCACCCCTCTCAAACCAAGGACAACAAAACAAACCAACTCAAGAAGATGAAGACGAACATACATCACTTCATCTTTCTTTAAGTTGCTCTGACTGGCACCGTTCAACTGTGCGCAGAGATGAGGATGATGTGGTGTCGACCAAGAAGAAGAACAAGCCGCAGCACCAACAAGACAGCAGCGTGACGGCTGCGGCGACTGTGGTGGATCCGTTGGGCAAGGAACCGGTGGAGGAGATCTACCACTTTTGGAAGCTGGCGGGCGGGGACATCGAGACGGAGCTGGCCTCGGAACTCAGGACGCGGCCGCCCATCCTCCGGATCCCTCGCGTCGTGCCCATCGTCGTGCGCGCGGCCGGCAAGGACGGCGCCGCCGCGACCGACAACGGAGCGACGCCGCCTACGACGGCGGGGGCGGCCGAAGTTGGCAAGCCCAAGCCCAAGCAGAGAGGAGCGCTCGAGCTGCTCTACAAAGACGACATCATGCCCATCTTCTTGCACTCCCTCCGTGCGCGCCTTCAACAGAAGAGCTCACTCGCCGACGGTACGCACACGCACACGTACGACCGCACACGCACGACCGCACACACATATGCGTCATCGGCATACGACGAACTAAAAGGGAAGAGTGGGCGTGCAGGGGCGGGCGGAGGCGAGGCGGGTTCGGTGGTGCAGCGCGTGGAGGAGTGGAAGCGGGGCAAGGGCAAGTATGTGCCCATGGAGCTCCGCGAGAAGGACATCGACTACCAGCGCCACCGGGTCAAGGTCTTCCGCGATCTCCTCCAGCGGCTGCTCGACACCGAAGGCCTCAAAGTGGCCAAAGGTCCACCCAACTTCATCTTTCTTATTAATATTATTATAATTTAATTTATATTTTTTTGTATTTTCCAACATAGTTTATTAACGATTTCTAATGTAAAAAATATTATAATCAAATTAATACACAGGGCGGCGTATTGATCCACGGCGAGAGGCGGTGGTGCGGGACATCGTGCGGGCGGCGGCGATCGACATCCCGCAGGTCCTGCGGGCCGAGGTGTGGACCGTGCTGCTGGGCCTGCACGAAAAGTCTGACGATGAGGTATCGTGCGTGTGTCGTGTCGTTGGTCGTGTCGTGTCGTGTCGTTGGTCGTGTCGTTGGTCGTGTCGTGTCGTGTCGTAGCACTCAAGCGTACGAGTGAACAACGAACAGATGCAGCGTTCCTACGACGCGCTGGACAAGGAGGGCGAGGGTCCCGCCGACCGGCAGATCGATCTCGACATCCCGCGGTGCCACCAGTACAACCCGCTGCTCGCCTCGCCCGAGGGCCACCGCAAGCTGCGACGGCTCCTCAAGGCCTGGGTCTTAGCCCAACAGGGCCACCAGGTCTACTGGCAAGGTCCGTTGTGTGCTGTGTGTGCGGTGGCGCGTGTGCGGTGCGTGCGGCTGACACTCGATCGATCGACGACGACACTAGGACTGGATTCGCTGCTGGCGCCGTTCCTGACGCTCAATTTTGAACGCGAGGCGCGGGCCTACTGGTGCCTCCACTCGCTCACGTCGCGCTACCTCCCCAACTTCTTCCTGCCCGACAACACCATCCCCCTCCAGGAGCACCTCGCCACCTTCCGCCAGCTCCTCGCCTACCACGGTACGCACCGCACACGCGCACCGCACACACCGCACACGCCACCGCACACACCCCACACAATCACTAACGCGGCGCGCACGCACGCAGACCCGCAGCTGGCGACGCACTTGGCCGATGTGGGCTTCCAGCCGGACCTGTACTCGATCTCGTGGTTCCTCACGCTCTTCGCGCACATCTTCCCGCTCGACCAGGTCTACAAGCTGTGGGACGTGCTGCTGGTCCACTCGCCCGCGCTCACTCACTTCATCGCCGTCGCCATCCTGCACCAGCTGCGCACCACCCTCCTCCCGATGGACTTCAACCACTGCATCATCCTCTTCAGCGGCGGCGGCTCCGCCCTCATGAGTACGCCGTGTGTGCGGTGTGCGGTGCGTGCGGTGCGTGCGTGTGTCATGACTTACCCCGCGCGTGTCGTGTCGTGCCAGGCATTGATTTGGAGTCGACGGTGCGGCGGGCGCTGGCGGCCTTCCGAGCGACGCCGCCCTCGATCTACACTCGCAAGCACATCGAACCTGCGCCCGCCGCGCTCCGGTGGTGGGAGCAGCGCATGCCCCTCGACGCGCTCGCCAAGCGCATGGCCCCCTCCCTCTCCCTCGAGGTTCGTGCCATTCGTTGCTTGCATGCGTGTGCGTGTGCGGTGGTGCGCGTGTGCGTGTGCGTGTGCGGTGTGTCGTGATTAGTGAACGCACGCGTGTGCGGTTGGCACTCCAGGACTTGGTGTCGTTCCGCGAGCCGCCGGTGGTGATCGACGTGCGCGCGCCGGAGGCCTTTGCGCGCGCCCGGTACCCCGGGTCGGTCAACGTGTCGCCCCGCGTGCTCGAGTTCTCTTCCCTCAACGCCTATCGCGGCAGACCCGTCGTCGTCATCGCCGAGAAGGGCGACACCGGCTATCAGTTCGCCAACCGGTACTCGTGTCGCGTCGTGTCGTGCGTTGTGTGTCGTAGTCGTTGCGTTGTGTGTTGCGTGTGTCGTGCGTTGTGTTGCTGACATGACCATAGGTTGGTGCGAGCCTTTTTCCCGTTGGTGTCCACGCTGGCCGGCGGCATCGACGTGCTCGTCGCCGACGCCACCACTGTGCTCGAGATTGACTCGTAAAAAACAAAGAACAAAGGGAAA